GGGGGGGTATGCGGACACGGGTCATCGAACCATTCCAAACCTTAAAAGAAGAACGGATTATTTACTGGCTTAAAGGTTTTCAACTTTCAATTCCTTGTCCTTAGCACTAGGCTCGCCCTACCTTTATTTGTTTGGGCTCCGCGCACGGAAGTATCTTTTTTTGTACGGAGTTGCTATGCCAACAAAGGGAGTATACAATTTTCAGGGGATTAAAACCCCCCAGTGTAACAAGAAGGGGAGGGCATGAAAGAGATTGATAGAGCCCCCTACTAAAGCATGAGGGGTACCGGCTTCTTTGAGATATTTTCAAGTTTTGGGAGACGGACAACTCGCCCCATCCAATTCGCCCCAAGGCTAAGTCGCCCCGATTTTGGGGTTGGGGCGAGTCGTAGACTTGTGCCATCTCGCCCCAGTCAAATATTTTTGTCCAATTTTTATTCCATTTGAATGTTGCTGGTCATTGTTAAGCGCCCCTCTCCTTCAAAGCCAAAGTCTTCCCTGGCATAAATAGAAGTTCGAATCCACAGAATTGTGGACCGCACGAAATTTAACAAATGGAAAATATGATATATTTTTTCTGCAAATTTAAGCAATTTTCCATTACCTTATGGGATATTTTTCCTTGAATCAATAAAATTCAGTCGAGTGAAGGGACAAATTTTATAATATTTTTTTTTCCACTGAATCATCCGTGATCATCTGGGTGAGCTACGTGGATAACACAGAGGACGACGACGTCGTCACATACTTCAGAGCCATCGGCCACAACTTGTCCGGATTTTTTTAATGTAATTAAATAGAAGTTCACATTCCTTGTAAAAAACTGATTTCAAGTGGGGCGACTTAGCGATGGGGCGACATGGGTACGGGTCGAAATGGTCATGGGGTGACTTTATACCGCGGCAAGTTAGACTGGGGCGACTTGTCCTAGATCCTCAAGTTTTTAGCCCGCCCTTCTGCTTTTTAAAGAGCATTAAAGCGGGCTTATGCAACCGCTCTCGTGTCCTTCCCTCTGTCTGTCCGTCCGTTCGTCGTCTGTGTAAGAGGAAGGAGATGAGCTGGAGGTCTGCAAATTTCAGGGTCTCTTAGGGGTCACTCCTGGACAACGAAACGCCTGGTGCAAATCCTGGCAACCACCCCTAAGGGGGTGAAAGGGGGTAACAAAAATTGGGGTTCGTCCAAAAAGTAGAAAATCCTTTTTTAGCCCGCCCTTCTACTTTTAAAAAAGCATTAAAGCGGGCTTATGCAACCGCTCTCGTGTCTGTC